CGAGCGCTCAAGAGGTTTCAGCAACCCGCCAAAGCGTTTTGGGTGCGGTTTGCGGTTCCCTTTCGCCGACCGCTCGGCTGAGGCGCCGCTCCCTCTCTCCCAACAGCGCATTTTGGAAGGCGAAGAGGAAGACCCCCTTCCCGCCGCTCGCGTCCGGCCTCGCTCCGGGCAGCTGCGCTGGTTCCTGGACGAGTCGGCAGCCAAGGAGCTGACCATCCCCGTCGAGAAACATTCCGTCTTGTAGAGCCGGCTGCCGGCCGGGCTCGGCCGACGGCACCCGGCAGCTCCGGCTGCGCGACGTTCCAGGGGAAGAACCTCACGTTTGGTCGTAGCGCTCGGTTTGGGGCACAAAACACAGGGTTTGGGGTTTGTTTGGTTGGGTTTGTTTTTTTTTTCCCCTCTTTCTGGAACAAACGGTGCTTTGCCGAGCACGAGTTTCCACGTAATGATTCCTTCGGTTCGGTGGGGGCCGGGTGCCAGGCTGGGAACGGCGCGCGGCGGTGGTTTCGGTCGCTGGCCCGGTGGGTTGGATTTGTCTTTGTTAATCTTGACTTTTAACTGTGCTTTGGTTCTTGCCTGAAACTTGGTGTCGGCGGCTCCTTCCTACCTGTTTTTTCCACTTACCCGCGTGCGTAGCGGTGAGGTTTTACCTCTCGGCAGCGAAGAACGCTTTGAGATCACGCGGTGTCCGACAGCCTGTCGCTGCGGCAGGAACGGCCTTCCTCTGCCGACGGGCAAAGAAGCCGGGTCAGAAAAGGCCGACGACTTTTATTCTCTAGGGAGCGCGGCGCTTCCGTGCCAGATCCGGGGCGGGGAACCCCAAGAATTGAGTTGGCCTGGGCTGGATGTGGATTTTTTTTACAGATACCTTGCGCAGAAGCCGGATGGGACTGGCAGCGTAAAAGCCCTGAAGCCTGCGGCGCGGGGCGCAGCCGTCCCTCTCGACGGCGTCTTTCAGAGCCGCCGAGTCGACGGCTGCCGGAGTACGAGCGATTCGGCCTGCGTCAGCGAAGTACCCGGGGGTCCTGGTTTGTCCCTGCTGTCCGCAGTCGTCCCCGGCGTCGCCTTCCTGGGGGTACGTCTAGATTCTGGTGGGAGCTGTGAAGCCGGCCCGGTTAGCGGCTGGGGTTCGGGGTTCTCTGAAACCACTTTTAAGGAGATCCGGACGGAAAGCGTCAGGATTTGTGAGTTAAATACGAACGCGGCGTTTGCGGCTGCCCGATGGCCGAGCTCCGCGTCTTGAAAACGTGGCGTAAACCGGCAAAGCAGGCGCACGCGGACGAGGCTTCGAAACTCCGAACCTAGGGCAAATTTAAAATAATATTCGAAATACCCCAGTTCCCCCTTCTCGGACCCGACGAACGACGCCAGTTTTCATGAGGTGGTTTTGGCAAAGGTGAGTCCAAAAACGCGCGGTGGTTAAATTTTCACGCGTCCGGCCCGGGGCGCCGTGTCTGTAGGAACCTGCTTCTCTCGCGCCGCGGCCCCGTGTTACCCCTCTTAGCGATTCCGAAACCTTTTTCCGTCCAGCTTTGTAGCTTTTTCTAAACCGTCCCCCGTCGATTTCCTCGTCTTAAAAGCATTTGGGCTTTTTGACCAGCTGGAGGGCTGACGCAAGCGCCGGCTATTTCTGCTCGGAGTTTCCTGTTTCCCCGCGTCCCGTGGGGTGTGAAGGGTATCGAAAACCACCGGTTGCGTAACGGGTGAAAGCGGCAGATTTCGGTTCGGCTCGGTGAGGGAAGCGAGAGCAGGTGCTGGCGACGGCAGCGAGCAGGGCCGCTTCCGTGATGCGCTCTCAAATCTGGAAATGACTCGGAAAAATCCCCTCGCCGTGTCCCGCTCGGTCCTGAATTCCTCGCCCGCTTCGCTCGGTGGTGGGGTACCTCCTGCGGGCGGTAGCGGAGAGGGGGGACGGGGGGGCGGAACGCGGAGCACCGAGAGCGAATTTGGATAAATCCGGCCGTGCCTTTTCGTGGCATCGCGTGAATTTACAGCCTGAACCGCTTTTAGCTCCCTAAATCCAAACTCCAGCGCGCGCCCGCCCGCTGCGAAAGCAGGACCCCCCCGGGCTGGGCTGCGGCCGAGCCCGAATTCGCCCGGTCTCAAAAATAAATCGGATTGGTGCTTGGTGCCGTTTTAGCGCACGAAACTTGGGGTGAAAGTGGCGGGGGGAAGCGGGGGGCAGCGGCGGGAGTGCCGCCGCCCCTTTAGGTTTGTTTTTT